ATTACCAAGAGTTTTATTTACCAGGTTAGTGACAAAACATGCCATCAGAAAACCAAAGATGCCCTCACATCGCTTGTGAGTATTTTGATTTACATTAAAAGTGAAGAAAACCAGATGTTCAGGCTGATAGTGGAAATTGGACCATTATTAAATTAATCACTTTCCGTGGTTTCCCCAAACTTCCCTCCACCTCTTTCTTCTCCCTCCTTTCCCAATGTTTTCCTGTGTCCCTATCTTTATCTCTGCTTTTTATTCACCCATTCTCTCCCACCTCTTATTACACATCCCTCATCATCTTACTCCTCACATTTCCTTCCTTCCTCCCACTTTCTATCTCTCCTGCTTTTCCCTCTAATTCTTTACTCTTTTTCCTAGCCTCCACTCTCCTCCTTATCCCTCAACAGCTTCCCATCACTTTTACAAAGACTGGAGACTGATTATTATTTTATGAGCTGCCCAGAAAAGACTGCAGGCTACTAAAATTGTGTCAGGGTCTTTCCATGAAAATCAGATTCTTCAGAATCAATAGAATTTCAATTTTGTTGAAATTGCATGGTGCTTTTTCTGCCCAAATGTTGCAGAGCTTTTCACAGAGCAATCACATTATCTGTACAACCCATTAATTAGTTAGCAATGAGAGCTGTGGCAATCCTCTTTGGAAAGCTGTTATGAGAAGTTGTCACAGATACAGGACCAGAGTAACAAAGAGGATTCCCCAATACCTAACTCTTCATTTACTCATTTCAAAGGCCTTAATGGATTTCAGAAATAACATCAGTAGACATCTCTGAATTCACAGGGGTGTTTGGTCTCCTGCAGACTATAGAGGTTCTAAGAAATATGTGATTAGTTTTCCAAACCCTCAGACAGAATGTGTAAAGAAATTGACAACTGTACATGAGATCACTGTTCTCTACAACTTCTCTAAGCTTCACAGAACTCTAATAAATATTTAATAAGTATTCAGAACTGAGGAAGATTCAGGGTCGATTGTGTAGGAGGCAGACAATGTACTATCAATTGTCACTGAAAAGCATCTATAGACACAATGAAACTTCCTAAAATTTAAGGCTGTAAACCCATCCAATGTAGTTTGTCCTTCAAGAGCAAAGTTTCTAACAAAGTGATTATTCCTTAGTTCCAGATTATAATCAGGAATCTAGTTTCCTTTGCACAGTAAGAGATGGGGAAGAGGAATAAAAAGAAAAAGGAGTTTCAGGCTCTTCCCCAAGGAATATTAGCAATTGGAACAAAAATAAGACTATGCTTCTCTTCAAATTGTCACTGCCAGGTGCATTTCTTCATATCCATGCCTTTATTCAACAATTACCCAACGGCTACTGTGGGCAAGGTTAAGGGATAGAATGTTGAGAAGAGATCCTCAAGGGTTTATAAATTACCACTTGAGGGAAAATGCATGAAATACATATTTATAATATTAGGCAAATGTAACTTCTCTGGGAATGTTACAGAGCATGTGGGAATTAGGACTTGGATGGGAAATTAAGTTCAGTTTCATGAGCCAAGCCTCAAAGAATGATAGCATTTCCCCAAACAGAGGAATGTCAAGAGGAAAGGAACTGGTCAAATAAAAATATGGAGGCCAGGAACTGGTGACAGTGAACATTCCAGCTTTCTGGGAATGGAGGGTAGTGGAAGGATATAGGTCAGCCAAGACCAGAGCATTGCCAGCCTTGAATGCCAAGCTAAGGAGAATGGAGAGAATTCCATAGGCAATATGTTGGCCTGCAAATTTTGACTCCATTTTTCATCCTATTTGAATAGTTGTAAAGAAATCATATGGTAATAGACCATAGAGTAAAAAGAGCAAGTCGAAGATGACATATAGCTTGACACTTTTTTATGAAGTTAAAAATGAATAAAACTAAACAACATATTGTTTAGGCATAGGTGTGTGTGTGTGCACATGCACCTATAAATAAAAGCAATGTAATTATTAAAAAATTTGGAGTATTGATTATTTTGGGGGAGCAGTAGGTAGTAGGGCGAGATGGGGAAGAGCATAGGTAGATGTCCATCTAAGTGATTGATTGTTCTCAATCTTAAAGTTGGTGGGTGTTTGTTCACAGATGTTTGTCCGTGCATGTTAATTTTTTTCCATGAGTGCTATTAAGTAAACAAATAAAAGGGACCATGGATGCACCCATGATGACAATATCCCATAACCCAAGGAGTATGACTTATCCAAATCTGTGCATGTGAGGCCCATAGTAGACTAAAAAGATACTCTAATGGTAAAGAGGCGTCTCCCACTTGGCTTGCAACAGCAGTGAGTGTTTATTTTCCTTCACCTCTCTACTGGAGGGCAAGTGAAGAACTGCTGCCTCTGTGGGGGCTGCCTGGGACTATCAGAGTTCTGAATCTGAAGAGCCCTATTGTATCTGTAGAGTGGTGTTGCTCAGGCCTAGCTGCATATCAAAATCATCTGTGGAGCTTTAAGATTACAGATGTTCATGCCCCACTCAGGCCTACTGAATCCAAGCCTCTGGTGGAAGGACCCGGGTACATAGATTTTCAGACAGCTTCATAACTGATCCTGAAGGCAGCAGGGACTAGAAACCATTCCTTGCAGAGCGTGCTTAGAAATTCGAAGTGGCTAACTTGTCACAAATGTGGATATCGGGGTCCTATCCCTAGAGATTCTGATCTAAAAAACAAGGGACAGGACTTTGAAATCTGCATTTGTTTGGTTTTTTTTTCTTAAAGATTTTATTTATTTCTTCATGAGAGACACACAGAGAGAGAGAGAGGCAGAGACATAGGCAGAGGGAGAAGCAGGATCCCTGCAGGAAGCCTGATGTGGGGACTCAATCCCAGGACCCTGGGACCATGACTTGAGCCAAAGGCAGATGCTCAACCACTGAGCCACCCAGGCGTCCCTGAAATCTGTATTTGTAATAAGCATCTCTAGGTGATTCTGATGAAGGGACTTCCTGGGACCACGTTGAAAAACATTGCCCCAAAGGTTCCAAAACACTAGGGACTCTGGGTGATTATTCTGTGTATTCGTTTCCTAGGGCTGCCGTAAACAAAGTACCACATACCGGGTGGCTTAAAATAACAGAAGTTTATTCTCTTAGGTCTGGAGGCTAGAAATCTGAAATCAAGGCTTCAGCAGGGCCATGTTCTCTCTGCAGTCTGTAGGGTAAAATCCTTCCTTGGCTCCTCTGGCTTCTGGTGTTTGCTGGTGATCCTTGACGTTCCTCGGCTTGTAGCTGGATCACTCCAATCTCTGTCTCTGTCATCCCTTTGATAAGGATACCACTCATATTGGATGAGGACTAACCTAATGACCTCATTTTAACTTGATTACATCTGCAAAGATTTTATTTCAAAGTGAGGTCACATTCACAGGTAGAAGGTGTTAGGACTTCAATATATGTTTTGGGGAGATACAATTCAACCCATAATGCTGTTTTAAATATTTTTTCAAAAGATTTATTTATTTATTTATTCATGATAATTATTATTATTTATTCATGATATTTTATATTTAAAAGATTTATTTATTTATTTTATTCATGATAGAAAGAATGAGAGAGAGAGAGAGAGAGAGAGAGAGAGAGAGGCAGAGATACACAGGCAGAGGGAGAAGCAGGCTCCATGCCGGGAGCCCGATGCGGAACTCAATCCTGGGACTCCAGGACCACGCCCTGGGCCAAAGGCAGGCGCCAAACCGCTGAGCCATAACTGACTTTAAAACAGGGATCCCCTGTTTTAAATATTTTTTAAGTAGGGCCCCAAACCCCCAATAAGACTGATTAGCTATGTTCTTTGGCTGGGATATCTAGAGAGAAAGACCTACAGTTACGTTTCAGAGCTCTGTGTACAAAGAACCACTTGAAAAGCTTGGACTTAGGATGCATATTCCTGGGCCTTGATACAAGATCCTAGAATTCAGGAGGTCCAAAGTAGGGCCTAGGAATCTACATTTCAAATGACATAGGGGGTCCATGCATCATGCCCTTGAGAAAACCTGGTTTTAGGAGAACAAGCAATGTCAAGAACCAAGTGGTTTGGGGAGGAGGAGCTCCCAAGAACAGACCCTGAAATCTGCATTTGTAACAAGCTGCTCTGATAAACCATTGCCTTTGTGAGATGGTGTTTCGAGGGAACTAAAGGATATCTACTGTGATTGTCTTTTCTACTTAGTGAATCAGAAATCAAAATAAATGTACCTTTAAGTTTTGGAAAAATGTTTCCTAGACCATCCCTCCAAAGACAGTAAAAAGATAGCCTGTCTCTTTGCCCTTGTTTCTTGTGAACCAGGTGGCTCTACATGGGCAGTAGGGCAGTAGATAGGTAGACTAAGAATCATGCAGATTACAGAAAGTATAGTAATGTGGATGAGTGAATATAAACTTTAAGTGCTCCAGGGCTGGGGGCAAAATTCCAGGTTATTGGAAGAATAACGTGATCATTGGAGCTATTTCTATTAACTTTCCTCAGGTATGTTAAACATTGGAGCTATTTCTATTAACTTTCCTCAGGTATGTTAAACAAGAGACAGAACTAGGCTACATTGTCACACCTCTGCTACTATTGCACATAGAAGTTTGACAGGTGATGGAGGCTTATGTTGTTTATTTTAGTCACCAATATTCAAAATTCATGTTCAGAATGACAAGCTAAATCATTTTGTAAGATGCCAACAGTAAATAGTTGACCCTATTCACACACTGGAATGTTTTTGCCAATAAAGACAAGGTTTCTGTCTTTATTGCAAGATACAGTTATTTGCTCAGAGCAGAGTACCCTCTTAATTCCTTCCAATCTACAAATACTGGGGGGGGGGAGTGTATTCTCCCTCCACAGACCTAAATGAGAAAGAAAAAACACAAAAATAAAATTAGGGAAAGGCTGCATTCTTAAAAATTCTATGATTTGTTAAAGTTACCCATGGCACTGGGACCTGGAATTTGAAAAATGAGTCCTTAGATTTAGGTCTTCCTTATTTTATTGTTTTTAAGTAGGCTCCAAGCCCAACATGGGGCTTGAACTCACAACCCTGAGATCAGCAGTCACATGCTCTATCAACTGAGCCAGCCAGGCACCCCTAGGTCTTCTTTATTTTAAGCACTAAGATTTCCTGGGTAAGTCAGAGCAGTGTTTCTCATCCTGGCCACACTTGAGAGTCACTTGGGAGCTTTTAAAAATACCAGGGTTAAAAAAAAAATACTAGGGTTTGGACCCCACCCTAGACCAATAAAATCCAACTCTCTAGAGTGGTTTCCAGGCCCCTACTGTGGAGACTATGATTTAGAAAGTCTACTGCAGGACCCTTGATCTATATTTTATGAAGTACCTTGGGTAAATCTTATGGCAAATTAGTCTGGAAAACTAATCTAGCTTAGTTCTTAGTTGCTGTTCAGTGATCTGAATTTTTCTTTTCTTTAATAGCCATTTACCACATAGAAAAAAGCATTCAGGATATCATTTTAAAACTAATTTGCCCTTAGCAAACATTTTGCAATATGTCAGTTAATTTGTATTTCAAAAGAAATTGCCATCTGTTTCTCTAAGATACCTGAATCTTCTATTTCTGTTTTTGATTTTCAGGAATATAAATCTGTTGAAGAATCTGAAGAGTCACATCTTCTGAGCCTAGACATACTGCTGTCAGCATCTCTGAGACTTCCTCCTTCTGAAAATTACCAGGTCTGGCTTTGGCTCCAGCCTACGGTGAGGCACATCAACACATGTCCTCTAGACTTACAACCCTCAAGCTGTGCCAGCTGGGCAGGAACCTTACCACCTCCATACTTAGGGGAAATTCCGAGCAACAAGAAGGGTGAAAACTCAGATATGCTGAGCCTGAAATGTACAAAAGTTTTTAGGAAGTCTCCTCACAGAAGAACCCAGTTAAATCCACATAATTAGCTCGCACACTTAGACGAGCTGTAGGTAGAACAGAGAGCCTTTTTCCCTATATCAAAACAGAGTAAAAGTCTGATTTAATACTCAGAGATTGTTGTCCCCATACCAGTATTATAAAACAGTTTCACCATATTTGTTTTAATCAGTATAAGAGTAGAACTGTGGAACATAAGTTATCTATATATTATTTTTTTAATGATAAAGAGTTTCTGATAAAATCTATTTAGGACAGGGGTGCTGTGTTGGAGGACAGAGTGTGGCCATTGCCCAATTAGAACATTACCATTTTCTGGTTTGTGCACTAGTGACTTTGTTCGGGTCGTGATTGCTTTGCATGAGATTGTTAGAATACTTCCAGTATATTTAGAGATAGTCTAAGTGACTGTGGAATGCCTCGAGGGCAATAGAAAGCAAACAGAAACAGGTACCATCTGATGTGTTGAGTGATGACGGAGGTGCATTTCAAGTACCATGGAAATCTCACCGGCCGGGCCCATTTCCCTACCCTGGCGACAGAGGTTGACAACACTTCGGATAAGTATTCCAACCTCTACATGTACGTGGGCTTATTCCTGAGCCTCCTGGCCATTCTCCTCATCCTGCTCTTCACGATGCTTCTTCGGCTTAAACATGTCATCTCACCCATCACTTCCGAGAGCACGGAAAGTGTTCCTCAATTCACAGATGTAGAGATGCAGAGTCGAATCCCCACTCCTTAAAGCCAGGATGAATATAAGCTTTCTTGGATCTCATTAAACCCTTGCATGTTGACGTCCAGGAAAGCTTATTTTGTTGCATGTGGCTTCCCATGTAGGGAATCAACAAGTTGTCTATTTAACAAGGTATTCATGATTTTTTTGTGCTGTTCTTGGTTCTGCTTGTGGGATATCTAAAAGGTTTAAGACTCATTCTTTGCCAGGAATAAAGGAAATGGCAGCTGGTTGGGAGGGCAGGTTTCCATAGTAACCAAAGAGAGCCTGGGCCTTGAGCAAACCTCAGACCACAGAAATTCATATGCAGCTATCTTAAAAAACATAGGATCCCTGGAAGCTTCAAGAACAAGAAAAATCTGCTTTTGAAGGGGCTGGTTGTTCAAAGAGGGTACCCCCAAGAAAAGGACAAGTCTTAATTTAGCACTTGGACCCCAAAGAATTGCCTCTGCTGATCTGAAGCTAAATCATGTCAAAGATTAATGGAAGGGACCACGAACCCTTTTCCAAAGGAGCAGTGATTTTATCATCTAAGGCCATTGGATTTCTCCCAAACCAAAGACGATATTAAAAAAAAAAAAAAAACTGTTGCAGTTTAAAGAGCAAATTTGCAGAATGAAGTTTCTGGTCAACAAATTCATCTAGAGAAGGGGAAAAAGATAAAAATGTGCATTTTATATCTGTGTTATTACTATTACTGGACTTTTAAAAATTCAGAATGGCAGATGTATTGCAAAAATCCAGAATGATGAGCTTCCCCCAAACCAAGGGAAAATTAAGTCAAAATGTGCTCATGACAATGAACCTTACATTATACGTGCAGCTTCTTTACCTTTTTCTCCCTCCCCGTCATGCTCCAGGATTGAGTTGAACATAATATGAATCTTGTTTAAAGATGGCCCTGGCAGAAAAGGCACAACTATACTTTAAAGCATAAATGAAATGATCTTGGCATTCTGTCACTGTATGATTGTGTCTTTGGACAAATCATTCAAGTCTCTGGGTGCCAGGTTTTTCTTTCTGAAAAATGATCAGAGAGCTATTTAGTCACTGGGCTCCTTTTAGATCTGAGTGTGAGAAAAAGACAAAGGAGGAAAGGACTAAACACCACCCTCCTACAAATCCTTATTAAGATCAATGTCCTCAAATGTCACATTTGTCTTTCCTGGAAAATGTGTTTCCCTTCCTGATCCCTGCCAAAAGATGAAGTGTTTCGCTTATTACCTAAAAGAGAAATATATTTTTTAAAATTCCATTCTCAGAAGGAGCCTTATATGCCAATAGTGGAGAAAGAATTGGAGTTTTTAAAAAATGAACTTTTCAAAAGGGAATCAAAGCAGATGAGAATTGTTTACAAATTAGAAATTTGAAGGCTGGTCATCTACTTGCCACCAAAGAACTAACACACATGTGTTCAATTCTACCTGCTTAAAATAATTCTATCTGCATCAAAAAAGAATTTGTTCTCTCTTGCACCTAAAAGGTGGTCATTAAATTTCACAGGATGCTCCCTCAGGAACTGCAGTGGTGGTGAGAGAGAAGTGGTATGGACGCCAGGTTAATGCCACCTCCACCAGACATGCAGCTCTCACTAGTCTGTTACCAATTTAGACTGTCCCCTTTACTCTGATCTAAATCTAGCTTGGTGGTGAAATTCCCAAATGCTTTCTACTTTTATACACAGTCTTTTGCCAATACTCCTCTCTCCAAGGGGCTGCAAAGTATGAAATCCCCACATGCAGAGCTAAACTTAGCAGTAAGCCTGCCTCTGGTGCACCTGTTACTATAGCAGACATCAAGATTTGTCAGCTGCATTCTGCGCCATTCAGAAGGGATCAGCAGGTAGGCTAAGCCTGGGATAGGGCATGTACTTCCCTTTTGGCATTACATTTTCCAAAACGCATAATGACTCTTATATTATTACATTTGATGTTTCAAGTTATGTCTTCATTCAATGGCTGGATTCTGTGCACCCTTCAAAATTTTAGTTCTTGGCAGCCTTACATGGACTTCATCGCAGGCTGGCGGTGTATCCCACAACTTCTTAAGGACACACATATCCCCACACTCCAGGCTCTCCTATTTGTGCTCACAGTATTTGAATGCACTTTATGGTTAAGAAGTCAGTGGCTGGATGCATGAAGGAACTGATTATACTTTCAACAGCAGTGAATGGCAAGATACTCAATGCTTTGTTGCCAGCGGTGATGAACAGACAGACTACAAATCTCTTCCTGCCCACCTGACCTCCCCAACCCAAATTTCCAGAATTTTAAAACTGCTCTTTAATCACTGACTTGGAGGAAAGGTCCTGGTTTATGATTAGGTTACTTACCTAGAAAACAACCACCCTCTTTCATCACAACTGCCCCATGGGAGCCAGATCTTCACTGAGCATTAACCAAAACCCACAGCACAGCTGCACTAAAATAGCAGCATAACCCTCCCCCCCAACACACACACTTAATTTCCAGTGATAACATAAATGGAGATGCATCTAAGCAGCTGTGTCATTATGGTGACCCACATGCTATTTAATTGTTAGGAAAACAGACGGAATGTTTTCATCATAGCAAACTTACTGTAAAGCCAAGAATGTTTCCATTTGTATTAAATTATATTCTGCCCCTCAATGTATTAATTAACATATATTACTGCTCAAAGAGGCAGCTAGGGCAATCAGTGGGCATAATTTGAATTTATCCATATATCCAAATGCTGAGTTGGCAGTTCCTTCCCCCATCCCCATTCTCCAAAAGTGGCACAGTAGCCTAAATGCATATAAATAGGTTATTTATATGTAGATGTACTCTGTTTTAAGGTGAAAGAATGATTCTTCACTTTTTATTGTGCTGACCCATATGAAATTGCCATTTCTGTAGGTCAAAAGTGCTCAACTATCAGCAATTTCATGTAATTCAACCTAAGAAAAAGGACTCACCACATGAATGTTCTAAATGGTAAACCCACCTAATATGTTTAAAAATAATTCAATTTCTAAAAATATACTTTGCATACACTTCAGAAACATGGGTTGTATAAGACAAGGTATATTATAAAAGATTGATATATTATGTATGGGGCAGGAAATATTAAGGTTAATAAAGTAAGGATGGGTTCATCCAGCCTAACCTTTCCATCCATGCCAAATCTGAAGCTTTGGACTCATAACTGACTTGGACTGCTGCAGACCCCACCATACTTACTAAGTAGGTCAAAGGGGTACACTCAATGCAATTAAATGGTTAGATTTAGTCATACATTTTATTCACGTGCATTTGTACTAAAAGGATTTTTTTTTTCTAACAAAATGAAGACCTGTGTGAAAGAAAAAAAAATGGGTTTCTTTTGTTTGAAATTGTCAATATTTGAAATAGATTCATATTGTATAAAAACAAATCTAATATTTCAATTACTATTTAGCATGTCATTTTGATCCCTGGAAAATAAACTGGTTTGCTGTTAACACATATCTGTTGTCTATAGAATGTAACGAACATTAGTCTCTTCATCTTGATATAAATTGGAACAGTTGCCAATTTGTGGTATTCATAATTTTTTTTAATTTTTTTGTTTTTTTAGAGAGAGGGAGTGCACACGCAGGTGTGTGAGTTGGGGAGGGAGGGGCAGAAGGAGAAGAAGAGAGAAAATTCTAAGCAGGCTTCACACCCAGCATGGAGCCCAATGTAGGGCTCGGTCTCACGACCCAGAGATCATGACCTGAGCTGAAATCAAGAGTCGGATGCATAACTGACTGAGCCACCCAGGCACCACTGTGGGATTCATAATTTTGAGGTGTCATTATTTCTTCTTATTCCCCGATTGCCCAGCCTTGATTGTCTTCTGACTTGCAAACTTATTGATGCATTTGTTTCTATAGTAGTAAGATGTGAAAAATGGATAATGCATGCCAGCTTCCAGTGAAGGTGATCTGAGGTAAAAGTGAGATAAGGCATCTAAAGTATCACTATCTATCAACATTTCCCACCCTTCATAGGATATTTTTTTAATGTACCTTTCTTTTTGTGCTTTCTTTATTTGATTCTTACAGCGACCCTGTGAGTATCTGAGTGGAGGTATTATAGTCTGTGTTATGTGAGCACAGAGGTGAGGGAGGCATTCATGGTTACACACAGGCCGAGTCAAGACTACACTGCCAGTCTTTGGACTCCTAGTTTAGTACTCATCCCACCATGCTTTGCTCAGAAAGCAAAGATGTTTCAAAGCTGTTCATTTTAGAATACTCCAAGTTCTGCCAGCAATAATTGAGCTCTATAGATGATTAACTCCCTGTGTCCAAGTTCAAAACAAATAAGCAGAATTCCTCTGTCTCTTCAATTTTATAGTTGCAGCAATGCCTATTAACAGGCTGTAGGAAATTTTACACAAAGGCAGATCCTGTTGCTTTAATTTACATGAATGAAGGGAAGAGGCAGAAATATGGATGTGTCATCACCCACAAAGCAAACCCCAATCCTCTGATCATTTGACTTAATGTCCACAGTCAATGCCAATCCCTCATATGCATGATTATCTCTCCCTTCACCCATAGAAATGAGAACACTTCCTCTTAGGTAAAAATAATGTACCTTTTAAAAAATAATGTACTTTTAAAATATTGTATCATGTTCTAAATGTATGCAGCAGTTCTATTTGTGCTCTATAATAAATGCAATGGTATTAAAATGGAGAGAATTACTGGCTAAAGAAGCTCCCTCCAGTAACAACAAATGAATTGTTGTACCTTCAGGAAAAAGAGACAAAAATATGGAACATATATACAGTAGGAAAAGGAAGTGCAGCATTTACTCAGCACCTCCTGTGTGTGCCAGCAGTGAATACAAGGCAGTCTATGTCCTGGTAAAGATTATAGACTACTGGGATAGACAACACCAATCAGATCATTATAAGAATACTGTAGAATATTAGAAAGGAGAAGTACAGGGTGCTTGGGTATATATAAAATGGTGGGGATGCTGCCTGGCCAGGCAGAGTGTCAGGAAAGGCTTTACTGAGGAGATACCATCCATGTAAACTAAAATCTAATGGATGGGTAAAAGGAAAGAAGAGGGCAAACCTTCCATAGAGAGAAGATCACATGAGAAGATTCTGAAATCAAAGAAACCTGTCACACCTAAAGAAGCACAGTAGTGAGAAGGAGAAGTCTCCTGAAGGCTGAAATAGTTTACGGGGACAACATACAAGACCTTGTAGACAATGCTATAGGGTTTTTCTTTCATTTTCAGCACAGAGAAGATTGAAGAGTGGCAAGAGTGGATGCAAGGAGACCACTTGAGAGG